TGTGCGTGTGTGCGTGTGTGCGTGTGTGCGTGTGTGCGTGTGTGCGTGTGTGTGTGCGTGTGTGCGTGTGTGCGTGTGTGCGTGTGTGCGTGTGTGCGTGTGTGCGTGTGTGCGTGTGTGCGTGTGTGCGTGTGTGCGTGTGTGCGTGTGTGCGTGTGTGCGTGTGTGCGTGTGTGCGTGTGTGCGTGTGTGCGTGTGTGCGTGTGTGCGTGTGTGCGTGTGTGCGTGTGTGCGTGTGTGCGTGTGTGCGTGTGTGCGTGTGTGCGTGTGCGCGTGTGTGCGTGTGTGCGTGTGTGCGTGTGCGCGTTTTAAACTCGCGCAGGTGCGCACAGCCAAGCTGTGCACACAGCAGCCTCCAGGGCCGCCAAGACCAAGCCCCTCGGCCCGATCGACGCGCCAGGCAACACCACGGCAGGACCCCACAGCCCACGCCACAGCATAGGCACGGCGGCTCGCTCGCAAGCGAGGGCACGCGAAGCGTGCGAAATACAACACTCTGGAGGCAAGGCCACGCGAAGCGTGTGTAAGAATAAGCACACACGAGTGAGAGAGCACGAAACACCCGCGTGAAAAATGAGGCGCAACAGCGCCTGATGATCCAGAATACCGTACGTGAGACCAAGAAGACCTCACATAACGTGCACACTGAATGGCACAACATTGCCTGGGCCCGCAATGCTCTCAGCCCAAGGTCAAGCCGTGACCCCTAGCCGATGAAATCCACGAAAAAGTCCTCATGACCATTGAGAATACCACGGATCCAGGCTAGCCCAGCGCGGCACTCAGCAGGCGACATCGGGGAGGGATCCACGGCGCCTGCATCTGCCGCCTGCCATCCAGGCCGTCGGAGGTCGCGGTCGTCGACGCTCGCTCGGCTGCCATCCGCCACGTGCCGCCGCAGCACTGCGAGCCGCAGGCGGGCCACCTGACGTCTATCTGCGGTATGCGGCATCACCGGGGGCGCCCTCGCGGGGTACCCTCCTGGCTGTGCCCCCCCCAAAAGGGGGGGGTCCACCGAAGCCACTCCCGCAGGTGCGTCACCGAAGGGCCCGCCGACGCCCTGCTCCTCGAAGCCCTGCTCCTCGAAGCCCTCCTCCTTGTTCGAGCCGCCAGCCGAGAGCGCGGAGCCTGATGCAATGCTCTCCCGCTCCTTCGGCTTGCTCCCGAACTGGACCATGTGGGGCGGCTTGGCAGGCTCGGCGGAGGGCACGTCACACTGCTTCGACCGCGCCGTGCCGTCGTGCAGGTGCTCCTCTCCGTCGAGCTCCAAGTGCCACCAGCGGGGTCCCGAGGCCAGCGGAGCTGGCTCGGGCGTTGGCTCCCCGCGCACCCGCTCGGCCAGGTCGAGGCGCAAGCCCGCTGGGAGGCTGCGCCCGCGCCTGCAGGCGACCTTCCAGTCAGTCGAGACGCCCTCGGCCGCAGACCGAGCCGCGGGGTGGCGCCGGTGGGGCGGGGCGCCGGCTGCCGGGCTCGACCGCCGGGCGCCGCGCCTCGGAGCCGCGCGCCGTCCACGCTGCAGCCGATTGAGCGACCGCAACCGCATGGCAGCGATGGATGTGCCACGCCGCGCTGCGCAGTGGAGGCCAGCATTGCGCCTGGCAGCCTCCAGCGCCTTGGCGCGGGGCACGGGCGGGGCGGGCTGGGCGCTGGGCGCGCCGCTCGCCTCAGTGCCCATGTCCGCCGATGCGGCGCCGCGAGCACGGCCGTCTGGCCTTCTGGCAGCGCGCCAGGGGGCCGACCTGCGTCGCCGCCGTCGCCGAACTTGCAATCGTGAACCGCCTGCCCGCCTGCCGGGCCGCCTGGCGCTGGCGGGGGGCGCGCCACAAGGCGGAACCGTGCAGCCGAGAACTGGCTTCGCTCCCGAATCGCTGCTCGGGAGGCCGCTGGTCACAGGTGCATGCGATGATGGAGGGCCACCCGAGGCACCCGCCCGCCCACCGCCGCCCTCCTGGCCCTCGGCACCCTGCGCGAGCATGTCCAGGAGAACTGGGACAGCAAGTGAAAGCCTGGTGACGAGCTCTTGGAGCAGCGTCGCACCAGCCTCGACTTCCCCGAGCCGCGGGGAGGAGATGCGGAGCGCTTGCCCTGCCGCCGTCGCGTGGAGGCTGCGGACCGCGGCCAGCTCCGCTTCGAGCACGCCCGCGCGCTCCAAGGCAGCGGCCAAGCGCCCGCACTCTGCCGCCCGCGCCGCGGCGCGCCTGGCGCGGCGAGCGGGCCAGAGCGAGCCGCCAGGGGCGCCAGCGCGGGATGCGCGGGATGGCTGCTCGGCCGCCGCCTCGGCGGGGGCGGCTCGGCAGCCGACCGCAGCCATTCCTCAAGAGGTCGACGCTCTGGCGCCCGCGGGCCAAAACCGAGAGAAGACAGGCGAGGACGGCTTGAGCCAAAATGGCTACGGAATGTGTGCGCGTGTGTGTGCGTGTGCGTGTGCGCGTGTGTGCGTGTGTGCGTGTGCGTGTGCGTGTGTGCGTGTGTGCGTGTGTGTGTGCGTGTGTGCGTGTGTGCGTGTGTGCGTGTGTGCGTGTGTGCGTGTGTGCGTGCGTTGTGCGTGTGTGCGTGTGTGCGTGTGTGCGTGTGTGCGTGTGTGCGTGTGTGCGTGTGTGCGTGTGTGCGTGTGTGCGTGTGTGCGTGTGTGCGTGTGCGCGTGTGCGCGTGTGCGCGTGTGCGCGTGTGCGCGTGTGCGCGTGTGCGCGTGTGCGCGTGTGCGCGTGTGCGCGTGTGCGCGTGTGCGCGTGTGCGCGTGTGCGCGTGTGCGCGTGTGCGCGTGTGCGCGTGTGCGCGTGTGCGCGTGTGCGCGTGTGCGCGTGTGCGCGTGTGCGCGTGTGCGCGTGTGCGCGTGTGCGCGTGTGCGCGTGTGCGCGTGTGCGCGTGTGCGCGTGTGCGCGTGTGCGCGTGTGCGCGTGTGCGCGTGTGCGCGTGTGCGCGTGTGCGCGTGTGCGCGTGTGCGCGTGAGCGCGTGTGCGTGTGTGCGTGTGTGCGTGTGCGCGTGCGCGCGTGCGCGCGTGCGCGTGTGCGCGTGTACGCGTGTGCGCGTGTGTGCGTGTGCGCGTGCGCGTGTGTGCGTGTGCGCGTGTGCGCGTGTGCGCGTGTGCGCGTGCGCGTGCGCGTGCGCGTGTGTGTGTGTGTGTGTGTGTGCGTGTGTGTGTGTGCGTGTGTGCGTGTGCGCGTGCGCGCATGCTCGTGTGTGTGTGTGTGTCTGTGTATGAATGTGAGTGTGAGCGTGTGTGGAGCACACAGGCTCCGCGCAAGAGTGGCCTCTGATGTGCGCGGCTCGCCGAGATCCCGGCACGCGGTGCGACAATACTGTAGCGACCTGCGTGCCTGGGTCTGGTCCCCCCCCCGCGCCCCCACCCACCCCGAAGACCGCGCACCACCAGAGGTCACTCCGACGAAGGGCCACTCTTAACTGCAGCGGGCTACACCCGTAGGAGGAGGAGGAGAAGGAGGAGGAGGAGGAGGAGGCGGAGGTGCAAAAGGATGACGCTGGGCGTGCGGTGTTGCACCCAGGGGCTGCCGCCGACTGCTCCTCCCGGGAGCCACGCGTGGGACCTCTCCCGCCCCCCTCTCGCGCAGGGAGGCATCGGGAGGACGGCGCAGGGCGCAGGCCGGGAAGAGGAGCGGCGTGACCTGAGGAGCCCAGCGTGTCACGAAAACTACGCCGCCCTCGTCACCCGCTGCACTCCGAGGCTCCCGATGCTGCCATCCACGCGGCCGGCGTCGGCGAGGTGCGCCCGCGCCGACTACGCGCGCCGAGGAGGAGGAGAAAAAGGAACAGGAAGCAGGGAGGAAGCAAGGAGGTGGTGGTGCAGGAGGCAAACGAGGGGAGAAGGTTGAGGAGGAGGAGGAGGAGGACCGGTGTAAACCCAAGAGCCATCAACGATGTTGGAATCGCCCCTCCCTCGAAGCTCCCTCTTCACAGGCCCCCAAAACGGTTCCATTCCATTGAGGGAACTGCCTCGTTGGAAGACAACCGTTTGAAGATCCTGGAACATGCCAACACATTGTGCCCAGGACTCCAAAACCACCGATCAACCTGACTGTTGCGTCTTGACGATCCTGAACCGTGCCAGAACGCCGTTCCTGGGACTTCGGCACCGCGAAGCAACGTAACTGCTGCACCCGCATAATCCCGAATCCAATCAACAATTCTGGTGCGTTGACCAAGGGACTCCGCAAAATTCTTACAACGTTTATAAACGAATGTGCGCGGCGATAAAGCGAGAACAACATTTTGAAACGGAACCGCCCTTAATCCGTGAAACTCTGGCAAAATTGTAACACGAATGTGCACGGCGCTGAAAAAGATAACCACATTTTAAAAGAACACCCGTCCGCAATCCGCGAATCTCTTGCACATGTGTAAAGTGAATGTGCGCGGCGCTGAGGCGAGAACCACATTTTGAAAACCACCCGCCCTCGATCCGCGAATCTCTTGCACATGTTTGAAACGAATGTGCGCGGCGCTGAGACGAGAGCCACATTTTGAAAACGATCCGCCGTCCATCTGTGAAACTGTTGCCAATTTTCAGCTTCATAATCATACATGGTGAGGACGTCTCAAGCGAAACGCCTGGCTCGCCCTAAAAACTGGCCTCGGGGTGCGACAGGGAGAAATTATTTAAAAGGAAAAAGAATGGACGAGGAGGAGGAGGAAGAGGTAGAGGAGGTAGAGGAGGAGGAGGAGGTGGAGGAGGAGGAGGAGGAGGAGGAGAAGGTAGAGGAGGAGGAGGAGGAGGAGGAGGAGGAAGGAGGAGGGAAGGAGGAGGGAAGGAGGAGGGAAGGAGGAGCAGCAAGGGGGGGGGGGGGGGAAAGGCGGGACGGGAATGAAGGGAGGGAAAGCCGGGCAGAGGCGAGACTGGCCCAGGCCGACGGAGCAGGCGGCGGCACGGCCGCTCGCTCGCGCGCCCCCCGCCTGCGCTCCTCCAGCGGGGGGGGAGGGTCGCTCTGCTAGCCTGGCGCCTCCGGCTTGCTCGCTAGCTGCTCGTCTGCCGGCCGCTCGTCCATCAGCGGCTGCTTGTCCGCCGGCTGCTATGGTGGGCTTGTTTTCCACCGCCACCACGATAACTAGGAGGGGGAGGGGGTTCTCCTCCTCCTCCTCCTCCTCCTCTTCCTCCTTCTTCCTCCTCCCCCTCCTACTGCTCCTCTTCTTCCTCCCCCTCCTCCTCACCCTCCACCTCCTTCCCCCCTCCGACTTATGGTGTTGGTGGTGGAAAACAAGCCCATCATGCTGCAGGGAGCGACTGCTGCCACCCTCGTGCCCTGCCGCCAGCGACCGTAGAGTCTCCGGCGCGTAGGTACTCGCCACGCCCTGCTCGCGGGCGACGGCGTAGCAGTAGAGCATGCTGTCGGCGATGTCGTCGAAGAGGGACAGGCACACAGCGGAGATGCTGAAGCAGATGGCGCCAACGACGGCGCAGACTACCAGGGGGTCCTCGACATAGCTACCTGACTCGGGAGAGGACCACCGGTCGACTTCCGTCACCGCCAGGTAGGCGAGCCCTGCTCCGGCAGTTGTCACCAGCGAGATTCCGGCGAATTGACTGAACCAGCACGCGCCCTGGAGGATGGCTATGTCGGGCGCGCTGGATGTCATGAAGCGGGTCGACCTCTTCGCCGCGACCCAGAAATCGCCAGAACGAATTGCAATGTCACAGTAGGCGTTCTTGTTCACGTACTCTAGACAGCGGCGGAAGCAAACGACGCACCCCATGCACACCTGTGCAATGCACGCCAACAACGCATTCCCCTCGGAGTCAGCATACCTAGCGACAAGACTGGTGATCAATATGATAACACGCGTCGTGGCAATCAGGAATGAACCAAATGCCACAGAACCCAAGTGGAACACCACGCACGCAACAACGCCCTGCGCCACAGGTAACCAAACAATTTGTCTCTTGGGCATGGGCAAGGCAAACCACTTCACAGTCGCGTAAGACACTACAAAAGTCTGAATGGCGTTGCAGACCTCCACGATCCAGACAACGCCAAAGCAATAGTCCACTGGCCCATCGAGCCAGAAGCGTGTTAGACGGCCGGCATATGAACCGAAAGCGCCATTCCCTTAAGGGCGCGGGACAGCTGGCTTGTTTTACCTCGTGGCCCTCTTGGGGCTATCGTATGGTATTCCTGGGGCGTTCTTGCGCTCTCCTGGAGCCCTGCTGGGGCCTCTCGGGGTAATGTCTGGGGAGGTCCTTGGCCCGTATTTGCGCGGTTTAGGGACGGTTTGGAACCATCTTGGGGCTGTCCTGGAGATCGTCTTGGGTCATCTTGGCTGCGGCTTGGGTCCTCTTTGGGAATCACGTGAGTCTCTTGGGCCCTCGTGAAGCCTCGGGGGCCCTACGTGGGGTCATGTTGGGTTGAACCTTCTGTGCGCAGCCATGTTGAAACCCCAGTGGTGGTACATTGCCGCAGCATTGGACCGTCTTAGGGGCACGTTTAGAAGACTTGTGCGCCAGCTGGGGCCCTCTGAGGTCATATTAGTGGTCTCTTGGTGCCCTTTTGGACAGAACAAGCCACCAATCTAACCGACGCCCAGCACACTTCCCCTGGTTTTTCGCTTTGCCCATCTAACCGATCGCACACCAAGCAAGCCAGGTCGCCAGTTCGCTCAGAGCCGTCTCTAGGGGGTCAGCTCGGGAACCTCCTGTTGAAAGCCGTCCAATCATCACCCAAGGACGCCTAAAAGCGGATGAATTCCTTGTCGGCCCCGAGATGGCCCCAACATGCTCCCCACATGGCCATACATACATACATATATATATATGTATATATATACAACTTAAGATAGCCAAATGGCTTGCAACGATGGCTCCAGATTGCCAACACACAAATCTAGTTGCTTCATTGTGTGATGGTTTAGGCATGCGTGCGGGTTCCAATAGGCTTCTCGGGCACGAGGTGGCCCTCAGTAAGAGGCCCCCGAGAGGGCCAAAGAGAGCCACACGAGGCCCCAAAGATTATACAGTAGGGCCCCCTAAAAGACTCCTTGCGGGACCCAGGAGGACACCAAGGCAAGGGCGCCGGCCTCTGCCCTGGGCCAGTGGTGTGCAATTTTGCGCGGGTGCTTTGCTGCTCGGTAGTCTGCAGGGCCACGAGATACTGTGGTATGCCACGCTATTCCAGCCTGTGCCACGCTGTGCTGCTCGGTGCCACGTGCCAATTCGATGAGACATGCAACGCTGCGATCTGCTCCCCTCCGCTACGTGAGACTACGATCTACTACGATTTGCTCTGATATGCTACGGTACGCTGTAATATCATGGTGTGTGGCATGGCTCCCAAACCTGTGTTTGCAAAGCTGCTTTCTTGTTGTCTGAGGACATGGACCTGGCTGTTGCACTTTCTGGCGGCTGCTTCGACCTCCGTGGCTTGGACCCCAACGGCTCGGACCCCTATGGCTTCTGTGGCTCTCCGGCCGACTGGCCCTGAGTGTTGAACTTTTTGGAGCTGCTTGGGCTACTATGGACTGGACCCCGTAGAATTTTGCGGCGCAAAAATGAAGTTCACACGTAGGGCTATGGAGATACATAAACATACATATGTGTAACATTGATACATCTATGAATGCACATGTATGCATGTATGCATGCATGCATGCATGCATGCATGCATGTGTGCATGTATGTGTGTACGTATAAAGACACGATGTTTCCGGCTGCCTGTGTTTTAACACACATGGGCTCAACACCTGTGCGCTTCCAGGTACATTGGAATCCACGCATCTAGAGGTCCACGCACCACACACAAAATGTTCCCCCCACACCGACTGTTCTGCGCCAGCGGGCAACGTATGCGCGAATCACCCCCGTCCGCATGAACAAGCATGTTGTGCTTGATCTCGAGAGGTTGAACGAAACCTGCGAGCAGAACACCGTGAGACGGGACCTCTGCACAGACTCAGCCCGTTGTATGGCACAACGGCAACAACCGAAACGGATCGTATTGTCGGGAATGTGCGATGATGCCTCGAGGATTGTGCCCCCAGAGAGTGAGGGACCCGAAAGTGCAACAAAGCAATGAGATAAGTGCGCGTTGTCTGCAACTGGTTCCGCACACACACACACAGACACACACACACACACACACACGAAGCTCCACACACCCACAGACGGCTTCACTCACCAGCGGAAGCTCCCAAACGCTAACTCCGAGCTCGATAACGGCATCGTCACCAACAAGAGCGCAGCTTTCACCTGTGTCCTTCCGACTTTACTGGGTTCTCGCAGGGGTGGCCAGACAACGGCGAACACCCAGATCATTCGGGCACTGGGGGGCCTCGCTGACTCCATAAACCTAATTCGAGAAGGGCCAATGGGCGACCATACAATCCTCATCAAAACAAACGGCGCATCGAAGGCGGGGCATCATTAAGCTGTCAGCCAACGCTATCAAAACTTGGACACACCCGACCGATCCCCATTTTAGAAAGCATCGAAAAGCGCGGCTGCCAACGCAACGCTGAGTCGGATCAAGAGAAGAGAAGGGCGCGCTTGAACGATGCCGGCCTGTCGTCGTTTTTCTGGTGACTGACCGGAGTGGTCTACAATGGCGAAAACAAGCGCGACATATATAGCTTTGATCATGTCGTCATGTCTGAAAGAAGCCGGAATCGTCGCAGGGCGTCGCGCGCGCTTCCTGGCTTGAGCCTGTCAAACGCCTTCACCCATTCAAGCAGCTAAAAGATGGGGCCACCTCGCTCGTTGAAATGCGCGGCGTCGATCATGCGACGGACAAGCGCGGGTCTCAGCGCCACCGCGAAGAAGACGTTGATGTAATATAGAAGCAATAATCAGATACCCAACTTGCGACAAGGAATTATGTCTGCACTTCTCTGGCAAAGCGACGTCTCCTTTCTGCATGAAGGGGCAACGTTCGCACGCGCCCAAGAGACAGGAATTACTTTCTGACCCCCGCATCTTTGACATAAGTGAGGCACGATGGCAGAAGCGCCCCAGTGCGCGCCCGCGATCTGCCAGAAGTCTGGGGTGGTACCGCCCAGCCCGGCAGCTTTGCCAATGCGTGGCCAGCGCGGCACATCGGTCAACTCTTTCGTGGCAGCTGCGTCCGCGAGTGATCCATCTGGCCGCTTCACCGTCGCGCGCCCTGTGGCGGGCGGTTTTCTCGCATGGCGCACCGTTTCCCAACCGCCATTTACAAAAACGCGCACCACCCATATTCGGGATCTTGCGCCCCGGACTTCCAAGTCAATCGACCCAGCAATTTCTCTTCATCGTGGCCCCCCGCTGCGCGGGCAGCTTGAATTTGTCCGATTAGATCGAGCGCGCGCTGGCTTGTCCGCGCCAGGGCAGCTTGCATTTGTCCGATAAGATCATACGCGCGCTGGCTTGTCCGCGCCAGCTTCGGATTCGACCCCCGCCCGGGCCAACTTTCAGAAACTGCTTCGAATCCGAAACGGCCCCATGCGTTGAAAACATGCACAGAACGAGCCCCGTCACCCATGGAAGCCCCAACGGCCTCGACAAGGGATGATGCGGAACATTTTTGTTTGCGACGATATTTGAAGCTCGCCTTGTCCACGCGCTTTCTCACGGGAAAGTCATTGAACTTGAAAGACAACTTTGGCACCGCAGAGGTTGGGCAACGCTGTGCGCGCGCCGGCTCGCCCAAGCATTGATAAAGCGCGCAAGATTCCGCGGCGGCAGAATGCGTGGTCTATCTGAATGAACGCATGCCCAGGCACCTGACTGTCTGAAGGGTCGATGCCAGGATCTCGATGTGAAACTTTCATGTCTATTGGGTGGTCGTGGAATACGCATATCAGCAGTAAGTCGCAAGACGTACGCAACTCCACTAAGAGGTGCCTGTTCGAAATTGCAGTATGCACCGCGTTGTCCGCAGCGCCTGTGTACTGAAACCTGCGAGCGCCGATAGCGCCTTGGTCCTCAGCTCCAGCTCGCAAAAGCCTTGCGCTCAAAGTCCCATGGCGCACGTCGCGCCCGTGGCCGTCGTGGCCCGAATATGCGTCTGGAGATCCACGTAGACGGAGTAGCGCTCCTCAAATGAACGACGGTTGTGCGGGGCATATGCGCAGAGCAACGTTGGCATGCCACGCCTGACTTTCATTCTGCCTAGAGTTGCACGCCTTGAACGCCACGGTGCCGTTCAAAACTTTCGGCGCCACCATGAACCCCGCCCCCGCGCGTGGCTGGGCGTCCAAATCGAGCTCGCCGGAAAGAAAAATGGTGTAGCCAGTTCGAGTATAGTACTCTGCTCCATGCAGGTGCATCTCCTGCGTACAATATATATATATATATATATATATATATATATAGTGTCATGCGCGCGCGTGACGACGACGAGTGCGGAGTCTCCATGTAGACCTTCGACGCTCCGCGTGCCCGCGCGGCCGAGGCAACAATATCTGCAGGCAGACTGGGTCTACCCAAGAAAGGCACGACGAAGAGAATGATGGAACAAGAATCCCCGCGCAACGAGGTCCATGGGGATGGTCAGATAAAGGGCGTTGGAGTATATGGCGCGGCGCAGCAGGATTTTGCAAACAAACACATACGACCGCTGATCGCTGATGCGATGTAATTGTACCATTGCCCATGGCGCCGGTGAAAAAAATCTTCGTGGCCGGCTCCAGGTTCTGGCCGTGTTTCCTACTTGCCTTTTGGATTGCTTTTTGCCGAGCATTTCATACCCTGGACATCTCGCTACAGGAGCGATGTATTTTTGTTGAGAAATTCGTCTAGCTTGGAATACTTCTGAAATTCCTCCCGAACTTCCAATCCGGGGCCCCATTCCAATGAACATGTGGCCACCTTCGACAGACATGGAAACTGCACTGTCACCTCCCTCGGACACTTGAAAAGGAAAATCTTCAGCGGTGATGCTGATCTTGAAAAATTTCATTCGAGTCGTTATTGGCAATGTGCCTCAAGCCACAGCGTACGTCGTACGTTTCGAGCAGCTCGGCGCAGGGTGCCTACGAGGCGCAACCCAGATTGATGTCCCTCCATGGTCGGGTGCAACAC